AAGTTCTTTCAGAAATCAAACCCAAGTGCCTTCAGGGCATGTCTAGTGCTGCCAGATCTGTCCTCAATAGAGATGAGGAACAACAGGTGCCCTCTTTTAGGTGCATGTCTGGATCCTGTCCCCTCCCCACCTTTTCTTCTTTGGCCGTGTCACCCTGGGGCCTATGGTGCTTTCTGCCAGCCCTGTCCTCATCTCTGCTCTGCCTCCTTTCACCACCCCAGGCCTGAAATAGCTGTTACTGGGCTGTGGTGTGGACCAGGATGCAGCAGTGCAAGAAGGAAATGGTGGTCACAGCTGAGCGCCATCTGGTCACTGGTCTTCAGGACGCACCTCACACGTGGGTGCTCGCGTGTGTGTCCAAGACCTTGTCAACCCCTCTGCCTCCTCTCAGTGGGGGGATGGGGAGGAGTCTGTTCCTAGTCTGCATTTTGGCCAACACCAGTCTCCCCCCACCTCAACATATCCCAGGACCTTACTCCCTCTGCTTGTTGCCAGGTTCTGAGTGTATTTTTTCCAGAGGCCTCTGATTGTTGCCTTAAGAAACCTGATCTCAGCGCTCATACAAAAGCTGGGGCCGTCAGAGGAGAAACCCCTTTCTCTCCCCCTCTGTCCCTAATGCTCCCTCGCCATAACCTCCCTTGCTTTGGATGCTGGGTATGGGTTCCAGGACCCTGCTGCCATCACCTAGGCAACAGGGGGCTTTGGTTGCCATGGTGATCAATGTGGGAGAAGCTGGGCAGCCTGGACAAAAGCCCCCACATTCCCCCCAGCCCTCCCCCCAGCCCCCTTGGGATGATACTGAGACACATTCCATTAATTTTATTTCTGAAAGGCCTTTGGAGGGAGGAGGGTCTCCTTTTTGTGATGGGCTCTCTCTTCCCTCCCTCTCTGCTCTCTGGCCTCCTTTTAACCCCAGATAATCCATGGTTGGTTTGAGCAGGGGTCTGAGTGTGTGTGCTTGTGTGTCTAGGTGGGTGGGGGCAAGGTAAAAAGCAATGGGACACATTATCTTTCTATGGCACCTCGCCACCCCACCCCCCCAACCGGCAGCTCCCTGCCCTGCACCAAGTCTGGACTTCCCTCCCCCTCTCATCATCGTCATCCCTCTGACATTTCCACTTGTTGATCTCATCCAGTGGTCCCCTTCCCCCACTCTCTTCCCTGGGAACGCTGCCCACCCGGGAGACCCTCCAAACCCCTGATTCCTGAGGCTGATTAAATAAGGGGAACTTCTGCCCTTCTCTTTGCTCACCTCCCATCGCCCCCAGCCCAGCTTCTCCAGTACTTGGAATCGTTCTCTGGGGGTATTTGAGAGAACAGCAGACAGGGGTCTCAGCAGTTGGGTTAAGTTTTGGCCCCTGTGCTTGGTGGACGAGGGAGGAGCATGTTTTGGGGCTTTCTGGGCACCCTGACTTGGTTTGGTTGGGGTGGGAGAGATGGGCCAGGGGAGCAGCGTCTCTGTTGGCTCTTTAATAAGTAGGGGGCTCTAGGCTGAGTAGCTCAGAATAGTTGGGAGGGGATAGCACCCTTGTCTGGTTTGAAATATATCGGTAGGGGAAGCAAAATGGCATTAGCTTTGCTCCTGGGTGTCTGAAGTGGAGGTTCTGGTCATGTGTGTGTTTGTGTGTGTGTGACTTCTTTATTTAGTCATCCAAACAAGTGTTTATTTATACTATCTCTTTCTCCAGTCTCAGAGGAAGTGTCTGGGATTGGAGTTTGAGTGATCCTGAAGCCAGAGCTTATCAATTGCTTAACTAACTACAAGCTAAGCAGTTTATAAAGCACTTGAAGTAGGTATCATCATCTTCCCTACTTTACTGATGAGCCTACCAGGCTACAAAGTACAGAGAAGTGAAGTAACTTGCCCGTGGTCACATAGCTCGTCAGTGGGAGAGTTAGGTTTCGAACGCAGATCCTTGGATGCAAATCCTAGGCCGTATTTGCTGTTGGCTCTGGCGAATGTGAGTATTCAGGATGAGGATGAGGATGTGGAGATTCTGGCTTCTAGCGTCTGTCTAGATTCAAATTCACGCTAGTCCTTTCCCCCACACCTCACTCTGTGACCCACTTACTCTCTTTGAGCCTCCTTCTGAAGTTCAGTTTTTAAGAGGAGAACCAGAAAGAATGGGCTGGAAACACAGCAAGAGAGATACAGGTGAGACATCTATGTTGAGAGGTAAGCCAGTAGACTGAGTTCTCAGGAGAGGAGGTAGAAGAAATCCAAGATGTAATTTGCAGGCAAAGGGATGACCAAGGACCTGTTTGTGGCAAAGGTTTTTAGAATGGTTTAAGGTTGGTTTAAGATTATGACTCTGTCCCCTAAGTGTGCCCCTGTTCCACACTTGCCTTGACATAGTGATATTGACCGACATCGCCAGCCCATGGATTGCGTCCAGATAACTCTGTACGGAGAATAAGTGAATGGATTTAGCATTGATTTCATCTCCTCACAGTCAGCGTAGTTTCCCTGAGAGTCAGAGAAGCATATTCATTTACTAGGTTGGTATCAGTTACTTGCTCTATTCCCATGGGAGGGTAGGTGTATACAAATATATATCAATCATATTTATTATTCTCAGGTTGCTGGCGGTTTAGTTTCGTTGGAGGAAATGTAACAACTATACCAAGCAAATCCGTTTTAGTGCTTAACATAATCGACCTCTCAGCAGCATTTGACTTGGTTGATTGTCCCCACCTGGAAACACTCTTAAATTTGGGGCTGCCGTGAGCCTGCAGTCTTTGGGCACCCCTACTCCTCCAGCCTCCCCTTCTCAGCTCCCTTGCTTGTTGCTTTTCTTCCAGATACATTTCCATATTGGAGTTCTCAGGAATTTGTCTTGGGCGCTTTCTTCTCTTTGTTATTTCCGTCCTGTCCCTAGGCGAGCCCTTTCATTCCTGTGACTTTGAACACTGTTGAGACCTCCAGCTCAGACTCACCTCTGAGTCCAGGCTTCTCACGTCCAGCTGCCTACTTGACTGCCTGTCTCATGGCCCTGGACTTGGCACATTGAAAACAGAACTCATTGTCTTCCTCTCCAAACTTGCCTCTTTCCCAGTCTTCCTCACCTTATTAATGGCACTCCCCTCCATCCCTCTGCTCAGGCCAAGGATTCTTGACACTTCCCTCTCCCTCAACCAGTCCTTCATTAGGGCCTGTTGATTCTACCACCAACATAGGTCTCAAACATATCTGTTTCTCACCCCCCGTCCCCCTCAGGGGTGGATTAACCAGTAAGCAAGGTACTCACAGGCTTAATTGTGTTTACTCACTAATCTGTAGTGGCCAATTTCACATGAGTGAAAAATAAGTGAAATTGGTTATTACAGATTAGTAAGTAAGCAGAAGTAAGCCTGTGAGTACCTTGCTCATTGGGTAATCTGTCCCTGCCACTGCTGTACCCTGATCCAGGCCTGGACCACTGCAGTAGCCTCCTGACTGATCTTCCTATTTCTGCTTTTCCCTGTTTCCAGTCCATACCTGTGTAGCTAAAATCCTTTGAAGACTCCTCATTGCCCTTAGAATAAGACCCAAGCTTTTCACCCCTGGGGTCTTTCAGTAATTTGGCTCCTGGCTTTCTCTTCAGCATCAGCTTCCAGAGCTTTCTCCCTTCCTCAGCTCTATCCCCACTGGCCTTTTTCTTAGTATCTGAACTCTTTCCTGCCTCAGGCCTTCACCGTGCAGTTCCTCTGCTCCTCAGCTTTTCCCTCTTCTCTTTGCCTGGTTAACTCCTCTTTCAGTTCTCTTGAGGTGGCATTTTCGTGGAGAGACCTTCCCGAACCACACAGTTTAAAGAAGCATCTGCATCCCCTAGTTCTCTCTCATAGTTTCCTGCTCTTTTCCTTCCTATCACTTCTACAATTAGTCATTTATGCTTATCTGTTTACCATTTAATGTGCGTTTTCCTCGCTAGCCTGTAAACGTAGGTCTGTTTCACGACTGTATGTATACCCAGGGCCTAGCAAAGTACATGGCTCATAGAAAGTGCTTTAAAAAGATTCGATGGCTCGATGGATAAAGGTAGGAAGTAAGCTCAGAGCATGGTGATGACTGTAGTGGTCAGAGTTGGGGGTCAGAAGGGAAGATAACATTGGGTGCTGGATTAGGTGAGGGGAGGGTTTCTCTGAGAGGTGGGGGCTGGGCTCTGAAGAATGAGTAGGATTTGGATGAGGGCTGGGGAAGAGGAGGTGGAGAAAGACGGGTCATTCTCCTCTGCAGAATTAGAAAGTAAAAGTATAAATAAAAGATGCTGCCCCTCAGCCCATAAGTAGCCAGAGAAACTCAAGACCTTGCCTATTTCAGGATGTTAGGCTTTTGGAGAATGGTTTCTACTTGACTTCTCCTCCTGTCCCCATCACGTTATCAGTAGTTTCTGTCCTCACTTCCACCTCCTAGCACATGTGTGTGCATGCACACACACACACGCACACGCACACACACACACACACGCACACACAGCCTTAATGGGAGCAGCCAACCTGACCTGGCCAGTAACTATGGGTGTGTTTGATGTAGACATTGGGGACATGTTGTCAAGAGAAGTAGCCATAGACAGCCCCCTGTGGGCATGCTCAGGAAGTGTGTGTGTGGAAGCGGGGGGATGGAAGGGCCGGGCAAAGCCTGGGGGTAGTCTTGAATAGAACCCGGCTGTTTTCTGTTCTGTAAGGTCTCCGTTGGTTCAACGTGTCCCCTGGCCAGAGCCTGCCTTCTCCAAGCCCGAGTTTTCCTGGTTGAGACTAGGAAAGCACTGCCCGGATTCTCCCCTCCAGGGTGTCAGGGTTATTCTGCCCTGGGAGCCTTTGCTGGCCCTCTTGCCTTTATCCCTGAACCCTTAGCACAGTCTGGAGGTTCTTTCTAGGAGGCAAGGCAGAAGGACCTGGACCCGTTTGACGGGGCAGGAACATTCTTGGGCAGTGGCTGGGCTCATTTGAGCTTCCTGCAGTGCCCTTTGGGGATGGTCTTGTTTCTGGGAGCTGGATCTAACCAGCTTTTTTTCTCCTTAGGAGCGTCGCTTGATTTTCTCTGAGATACGCCCACCCGTCCAGCAAAATAGAGTCCCTCAGGGTGACGGTTGACTTCCTGAAGGTGCCTCTTGGCCTGAAGAAGCCGGTGCTGAAGGAGGTGGCTGTGGGGCCCCCCAAGAGGCCCCAGCCTGCGGCCCTGGAGCGCTACAAGGCGCGGCGTTCAGACGCCATGGACACCGAGTCCCAGTACTCGGGCTATTCTTACAAGTCGGGTCACTCCCGCAGTTCCCGCAAGCACAGGTGGGTGTGCATGGGAAGGTGACACAGGTGGTAGAAGGAGGGTTGGGGGGCAGCTGAGAGGTGGCAGTGGAGGTGCCTGCTGAGAGGACCCCTTCCTTCCCCTGACCTTCTGTGCCTCCCCCTTGCCTCCTGCTGCAGGGACCGCCGCGACCGACACCGCTCTAAGAGCCGAGATGGGAGCCGTGGGGACAAGTCAGTGACAATCCAGGCTCCAGGGGAACCCCTGCTGGACAACGAGTCCACGCGAGGGGATGAGCGGGTGAGTGTCCAGTGTTTGTCAGTCTTGGATGAACGCTAGAATCATCTGGGGAGCTTTTTAAAAAAAGGTCGATACCTGGATCCTAGTGTCTGGGATGGGACCTGGGCATCAATATTTTTTTCCCAAGGCTGAAGGAACTTAGGGCAAGACCAGGAGTTTTCAGACTGTTCTGGAGACGCTAGAACCTCCATCAGAGAAAGGAGGGGTCTAGAAACTTGGTCTCCTCCATCAGAGGCTGGGTCAGGGAGGGTGTCTTGTGTCCTATTTCCCACTGCTTAGCATCCCAAGCTAGGACCTTGTTACCTAGGGAATTTCAGTAAAGATCCGTTTGGGGGCAGCAGCCTCTTCCTTACCACCAGAGAGAGGGGTGCGGGGACCTAGGCAGTGTTATAGGAATTGGCTAGTTTCTCTGGAGCTGATGCCAGCCAATCAGGCTGGTTGAGAATCTGGGGGAGGCAGGTGGGTGGGGTCTGAGGGAGGGGGCAGAATTTTTTTCTTGAGTCTTAAGGAGTGGGGATTCTAGCGCCCCCTGGTGTCAGCCCGTGGAACAGCACCACCTAGTCTTAGTAGGGAAGGAAGGTGTGGGAGAAGGAGTGAGGCTGAGAGGATGGAGAGGGTACCAGGAGGAGAGCTCTCTGGGACAGAGGTGAGCTGGTTGCTTCTCTTCTAACCTCTTGGTTCACCTGGTAAGGAGCATAGTAGGCGGAGCAGTCCTGTAATACAGCAGACGCAGGATTTATGGCAATACCCAGCTTGTTTATGTCTCACTCCTGTTTTTTCTTGTTGGGAACATCTTAGAAAGCTAGGGGCACCCAGCTCCTTTTTCCTCAGAGGAAATCTCTGGGACTGACATTGGAAATCTCTGGGTCTTGAGAGAAATGTTTTCTTGCCTTTTTCCCAGTGCCTGGCACCTGGCCTCCTGAGGTCTTGAAGTGATCATGAGACGTGTTCATCCCTCTGGTTACTGGGGAAGAGGCCCTCGGAGAGGCTATGCAGTGTGTGTGGGGGTCGCTAGGGTGAGGAGTAGGCCCAGTTCCTTGAGCTGAACACGGTCATCTCATCCAGTTTCTGTCTTCAGATGAGACTCTTCTCCCATCCGGGGGCTGACAGGTCCTCTCTTCGAGTGAGGTGATTGCTCAGCCTGCCTAATCACTGACCCTGCCAGGTCGGCTCCTACACTCCCCATCCGCAGTGTCTCAGCCCTGTAGCCTGAATCCCTTGGGTGGCAGGTTAGGGCTTCCCATCCCTAGGCGGGGCCAGGAGTGAAGGGTGTGGGCACCGAAGGCCGCTGGTGCTCTCGGGACCGCTCTGTGAGATGACCTCCAGCCACTGCAGGGAAATAGCCTGAGTGGACCAAACCCACAAAGGCACCTGGGGACCTCTGCCTGCCCACCCTGTGCCTCCAGAAGGCAGACCCTGTGCTGTGGGCGTTTGGGTGGCCCAGCAGAGCCACTGGGCAGACCAGAGACCCCGAGTGACCTTAAGTCTGCACCTGTGCCTCCCACACTCTGTACGGATCGTTCACCTCCTCCCTCCCATCTGCCCGTGCTCTCTTCTCTTCACCAAACAGCTTTTGGCAGGTCACTCCCTTGATCAGAAGCCTTGAGTGGCTACCTCACGCCTGGAGAATCAGTGCGCGTTGCTTGGCCTGGTGGTGTAGTGCGGCCTGCGCAAGCTCGGCCCGGCCGCTCTCAGCCTCACCTTCCCTGCCGCGCTCTACTCCTGTGTGTGGGTCCCCTGCTTGTGCTCCCGCCTCTCCTGCACCTGACTGTTCCCTCTCGAGCTTCTGCTGAAATCATGGCACCCTGTGGAGGCTGGAGGGAACTTAGGGCAGGATTCTAATATTTTGCTGGGTGAATGATTCATGGGGATCTTGTTAAAAGGCAGGTTCTGGTTCAGTATGTGTGGGCTGGGGCCTGAGGTTCTACATTTCTAATCAGCTCCCAGGAGGTGCCTGTGCTGCTGGTCCCCAGATCACATCTTGAGTAGCCAGGCCTTAGAGATCCTATGGTCCAGTGCTTCTCAACCTTGGATGAACACTAGAATCATCTGGGGAGCTTTTTTAAAAAAAGGTTGATACCCAGATCCCATTCTCAGGGGTAGGACCCGGGCATCAGTATTTTTTTTCTAAGCCCTTTAGGAGATTCTAATGTGTGCAGCTGGGTTGGGAATCATTACTTCAGTCCAACTTTGTCCTGTCACATCACAGCTGCAGCATCTTAGCTGTTCCTGTCCCTGAGGGTCAGCTCAGACCCAGGTTCCTGGGCAGCCTGCCTCTTTCTGTGGGCGGCCTGAGCAGCTCCCACGTGTTTCTCTCCTGCCATCTGCTCCGAGGTTCATCTTGGCACACACAGCTGTCCTTTGTCACTGACCAGTGTAAAAGTTCCCCGAGCGCCCAAGTCTTATACTTTTCATTTTATTATGGTAAAATATTGTCTTAGTTATCTAGTGCTGCTATGATAGAAATACCACAAATGGATGGCTTTAACAAAAAGAAATTTATTCTCTCACAGTCTAGTAGGTTACAAGTCCAAATTCAGGGAATGAGCTCCAGGGGAAGGCTTTCTCTCTATCAGCTCTGGTGGAAGGTCCTTGTGATGCATCGGTCTTCCCTTGGTCTGGGAGCATCTCAGCGCAGGGACCCCGCGTCCAAAGGACACACTCTGCTCCCGGTGCTGCTTTCTTGGTGGTGTGAGGTCCCCTATGTCTCTCTGCTCACTTCTCCCTTTTATATCTCAAAAGAGATTGGCTTAAGACACTGTCTAATCTTGTAGACCTCATCAATATAACTACCACTAATCCATCTTATTACATCGTAGTGATAGAGTATACAACACCTAGGGAAATCACATCAGATGACAAAAGGTAGACAATCATACAATACTGGGAATCAGGACCTAGCCAAGTTGACAGATATTTTGGGGGGGACACAATTCAATCCATGACAAATATATATATATATATATATATATAACAAAACGTTTGGGCCGTTTCAACCATTTTACCTGTATAGTTCAGGGACGTTAATTACCTTCACCGTGCTGTTTAACCATCACTACTATCCATCTCCAAACTTTCTCCTGAGACGTAATAGAAATTCAGTGCGCCCTATGCAATGATGCTCCCCATTTCCCCTCTTCCTTCCATGCCTGGAAACCACTAATAAACTTTGGTCCCTGTGTATCTGCCTGTTCTGGATATTTTATGTGAGTGGGATCACACAGTGTTTGTCCTTTTCTGTCTGACATCTTTCACTCAGCATGTTTTCGAGGTTCATTCATGTCCTAGCATGTGTCCGAACTTCATTTCTCTTTATGGCTGAAAAACCAACTCTTAAACTTCTGATAGAATTCTTGCCTTCCATGTGGGAGTCCGGGGTTCGATTGCCGGCCAGTGCACCTCACGTGCAGCCACCATCTGTCTGTCAGTGGAGGCTTGCATGTTGCTATGATGCTGAACAGGTTTCAGCAGAGCTTCCAGACTAGGACCAGGAAGAAAGGCCTGGTGATCTATCTGAAAATCAGCCAGTGAAAACTCTGTGGATCACAAGGGCCTGATCCACAACCGATCATGGGGATGGCGCAGAATTGGGCAGCATTTTGCTCCGTTGTGCATGGGATCACTGTTGAGTCGGGGCGACTCCACAGCAGCTAACAACAACGACATACTTGTGATATCCGCAGAGGCCAGGTTTGGACACACAGTGGAGCTCAGTAAATACTTGGATGGTTGCGTATTGTTGACTACTCTCTCTTCTTTCTGCCTTCTTTCCCACGCTTCTCTGTCTCTCTCCCATCATCCTTTGTTCTGTTTCCATTCCCCTTCCTTTTCCTCCTCGTCTTCTCCCCTCCCTCCCCCCTCCCCATTGTGCGACCCCCTCCTGCCTGTATGTAGGATGACAACTGGGGTGAGACAACAACAGTCGTGACGGGCACATCTGAGCACAGCATCTCCCACGATGACCTCACGCGCATCGCCAAGGACATGGAGGACAGTGTCCCGCTGGACTGCTCCCGGCACCTGGGAGTGGCGGCGGGGGCCACTCTGGCACTGCTGTCTTTCCTTACGCCGCTGGCGTTCCTGCTGCTGCCCCCACTGCTGTGGCGGGAGGAGCTGGAGCCGTGCGGGACGGCCTGTGAGGGCCTCTTCATCTCCGTGGCCTTCAAGCTGCTCATCCTGCTGCTGGGCAGCTGGGCCCTGTTCTTCCGCCGGCCCAAGGCCTCGCTGCCCCGCGTCTTCGTGCTGCGTGCCCTGCTCATGGTGCTCGTCTTTCTGCTCGTTGTCTCCTACTGGCTGTTCTACGGCGTGCGCATCCTGGACGCCCGGGAGCGCAGCTACCAGGGCGTGGTGCAGTTTGCCGTGTCGCTGGTGGATGCCCTGCTCTTCGTGCACTACCTGGCTGTGGTCCTGCTCGAGCTGCGCCAGCTCCAGCCTCAGTTCACGCTCAAGGTTGTGCGCTCCACGGATGGGGCCAGCCGCTTCTACAACGTCGGCCACCTCAGGTGTGGTGCCTGGGAGCAGGTGGGGGGCAGGTGGGGGGCAGGTGGGGAGGCTGTAAGGCCTGTTACGGCAGGAGGGCATGATGGGAAGGATTGAGTGCTTTGAACATAGTAAGTTTGCAACACTGTTTGCTACTTACTGCCAAGGGGTGTGTGCAGGGTCCTGGGGCAAGATGGGGTGGGAGTTATGAGTTGGGAGGATAGAGCGGGCCATCAGAGATCCGGGATGTCAGAGAGAGTGGACCACAGGGGAGAAAGGTGCGGGGCATGAATAAACTAAAAACCAAACCCGTCGCCGTTGGGTCCATTCTGACTCATAGTGACCCTATAGGACAGAGTAGAACTGCCCCATAGGGTTTCCAAGGAGCGCCTGGTGGATTCGAACTGCCACCTTTTGGTTAGCAGCCAAACTCTTAACCACTTTGCCACCAGGGTTTGGTATCCCTTTTCTAGCCCTTTCTTGGAGGCACAGCTTCTTGTGAGTACTGAGTGAGTGGCCACTGAAATAAGCTGGCCAGAGGAGGGGGTCCCAGATGAAAAATAATGAGAGAGTTCTTTAGTACCTCCTAAATTGTGGGCAAGATGTCTCCTGGGCCATACACAGTTTCAGTAGCATCTCCTGGGTCCTGTAGAGAATCTTCGGGGTGGGGATGCTGGATGTGCATGAGGTGACCCTTGGCTGGGGAGGGGGGACCCAGGCCCAATGCCCTTCCTCCCCTGGACTTCAGCAGAGAAGGACTAGCAGGCCCAGCCCTGGGAAAGGCTCCTATTGGGAGCCTGGTAAGTAGAACTCAGGCCCTGAGCCAGGCTTCTTGGAAGCAGCTTGTCCCCATCCTGTGTCCTTTCCTGCCCCTGCCAACCTGCCCTGATGTGTCCCTTCCCTTGTGCCCCTTGTCTATCCCTTCTCCCTCCCTCTCCTACCGTCTCCCCCACAGCATCCAGCGCGTGGCAGTGTGGATCCTGGAGAAGTATTACCATGACTTCCCTGTCTACAACCCTGCCCTTCTCAACCTGCCCAAGTCCGTCCTGGCCAAGAAAGTGTCTGGCTTCAAGGTGTACTCCCTCGGAGAGGGTGAGCGGCCCTGCTCCTCCCCCTCCTGGTCTCTCCCCAAGCAGGACTCTAAGCCACCTCCTGTCTGTTCTCTCTCCCCCGCTTTCCTTGTTTTCCCCTTTCCCTGGTCCATGTCCCAACCCCTCTGTTCTGTCATTTCCCCTGACTCCAGGTGGCTGGTCTTAGGCTGCTGATTCCACTCGTGGCCCCTTTAGGGTATGGTGTGTCCCCCAGTCTGGCTCCTCTGTGTCGGCTCATCAGCCCTGGTTCTAAGCCATTTGGCCGTCTGAGCTCCGGAGCCTCCTGAACCGGGGAGGAACCTATGTGGACTCATCATTGCTTTCCCAGGGCCACTCCTAGAGGTGGCCAGGAGGGGTGGAGTCGGGGGCATTGCTGGGCGGCGGGAACAGCCTCCTCTGGACCTGACAGGTGTCAGGTTGCTGTCCCTGGAGCTCCTGTATAGGAAGTGAGATCACACTTCAATGTGACCATCCCCTCTCTCCCCTCTCCTGTGCAGAAAACAGCACCAACAACTCCACGGGTCAGTCTCGGGCTGTGATTGCAGCGGCAGCCCGGAGGCGGGACAACAGTCACAATGAGTACTACTATGAGGAGGCTGAGCATGAGCGGAGGGTGCGCAAGCGCAGGGCCAGGTGGGTGCTGGGGAGCAGAGGAGCAGCGAGGGGGCTGTGGATGGGCTTTGGGGTATGAGTAGGCTGGATAAGGGAAGACCAAGGGGCTTCTGTGACTGCTGAAAATAGAAGAGCAATGGTAAGATGGGTGGTGGTGGTGTGTTTGTGCATGTTAGTTTCCTGTTGCTGCCCATCACCACACACTCAAAGGCTGTAAAACAACACACATTGATTATCTCACAGTTCCATGGGTTGCGGTTAACTGGCTCCTCTGCTCAGGGCTCGCAGGCTGAAATCAAGGTCATTCTCATCTGAGGCAGAGTCCTCTTCCAAGTTCATTGGTTGTTTGAGAGTTCATTTCTGGGCACAGGGCCCCCCATAAGTAGTTCACAACACAGCAGTTCGCTTTTTCTTTGAGGCCAGCAGGAACATGTCTCTCTCTGACTTCTTCCTTCACCAGCTGGAGAAAACTCTGCTTTTAAAGGGCTTGTGTGATTAGATCAGGCCCATTGGGATAATCTCCATATTTTAAGGTCAACTGACTTGGGACTTAAATTACATCCACAAAATCCCTTTACCACAGAACTAGAGTGTTTGATCGAATAACCAGGGCTGGGAATCTTGGAGGAGCCTTTCTAGAATTGTATCTACCACAGTGGAGTAGGGACCCAGTGAAGGATGTGAGCTTCACCTGCAACAGAGGGACTGAGGCTACAGTAGACCTGCCAGCATGTGATGCCTGCAGAAAATGAGGTTCTAGGACCCATGTCCTGATACATTTTTAAATGCTATCCTCACTTCTTCCTGTTCACACTTATGTGCACTTAAGTCATGTCTGAAAGACCTTTCTGGGTGCCTGCTGTAGCCAGCACTTTGCCTTGGTCTACTGGGATTTCCACGAGGAGTTGAAGAGTGCTTCTTTCTCCTTCCTGCTCAGGGACTTTCTTGCCCACCCTCCCCTCTGCCCCTCCTCCCACAGGAACTCCAGGCTTGGAGGAGGGGAAGGTAGCCCTTGCCCTGTTCTTACACAGGGTTGGTGTCTCTGCAGTGGATCAAAGATCACCAACCCCCTGTCTGTGACATTATAGCATGTCTTCAGTTGTCTCAGAAGTGGCCCTCTTGGGAAGAAACCAGTGGTCCTCCACCCCCAACCCTGCCCCTGTATTTTCCGCTCTGACTAAGGTCTTTTGGTCTTCTGTGCTGCCACCACTCTTCTTGGCCCCGAAGGGGCACCTTCCTTCCCCCATTACATTAGTTGTAACCAGGAGAAAACTTTTTCCCTTGGTTCACCTGGAACACAGGGATCTTTTCGAAAGGAACTTTACTGAGAAACTCAGGGGAAGCAAAAAAATAAAAAGAAACTGAAGAAATACTTTAAAAATGGCTTGGCCGAGGCGCCTGATGTCCTCGTCTAACTTCACAAGGGGGAAGGAGAATCAAGATCACCAGCCCAAGGCTGATGCCTATGAGGCGGAGGTCAGTCATGCCTCCTATCTCTGCCATCTTTACCTCTGACACCAGCCGTCCCTCCTGTGGCACTCTGCTTCTCTGCTGAGTTTGATAAGTTGTTGCAGTGGTCACATAGAACTCACAGGCAATGCTCACGATTATGTTTATTAGGGAAGTAACAGGTTGGGGAGTTCTGGTGGTGTAGTGGTTAAAACCGAAAGGTCGGTGGTTTGAACCCATCAGCTGCTCTGTGGGAGAGATGTGGCCGTCTGCTTCTGTAAAGATTTACAGCCTTGGAAACCCTATGGGGCAGTACTTCTCTGTCCTATAGGGTCACTATGAGTTGGAATCGACTCAGTAGCAATCAGTGGGTTTAACAGGTTACAATTTAGGTTCAGGAATTCTCGGGATACAGTTTTTTGATCAGGAAAGCCTCTTCCCAGCTGTGCCCACAGGCAAGCCTCTCTCTGCCCCCTTGGCCTCTGCCCTGCTCGGGCAAATGTTACAAAGCTCTTTTAGCTCTGCCACGAAGTGCCCAGAGGCACCCCACTCCACCAGCAAGCCTCATGCCCGAAGGCACTCAGCTTTCTCGTCCAGTCCCACTGTGCCGACTCCTGCCTCTGCTGCCGCTGTTTCTCTGTTGCTGCTTCTCTCCGTCTTTGGTGTTATAGCACTCTCTCTGTTTCTCTCTATCTCTTGTCTCCTGGTTCCAGGAGCTTCTCGGTGCAGGGACCCTTGGTCCAAAGTATGCACTCCACTCTTGGCTCTTCTTTCTTGGTGGTGGTGAGATCCTCTCCTCCCATCTCTGGGATGGCTCATTTTAAGCCTAGCGGGATGGCAAAACTGACTAATCCCTTTGTTAGGGTTCCCTAGGCCTTATTTGCATAGTGCCACTGAATTACTGTGTGTGAGTCACAGTGACTGTGGCTGTAAAGGCCATATCAAGCAGTTCATTGCACTGCACATACAGAGATCCACACAATGACTTAACCAGTTGCCATCAAGTCACTTGTAGCTCATGGTGACCCCATGTGTGTCAGAGTAGAAGTGTCTTTCACAGGGTTTTCAATGGCTGTTTTTTTGGAAATAGATTGTCAGGCCTTTTTTCTGAGACACCTCCAGGTGGACTTGAACATTTAACCTTTTGGTTAGCAGTCAAGGGTGTTAACCGTTTGTGCCACCCAGGGATTCCACGCATTTACTTAGCCTAGGCTAACTGAAGTTCCCAGGTTCCTGGGTTTCCAGGTTCCTGGGCATACAGGGCTCATTTCCTTTTCTTGTCCTGTCATGTCAGGCTCGTCCTGCTGTTAGGTCAGGTGGGTTTTATTTTGTGTTTTGGACCGCAGTTGCTGAGAATTGGGTTCATCACACTTCTCAGTTCTTAACACATTGTCATCACAGGCTTCCTCCCTGCTCTGTATCCTACTTCCTTTTTCCTTCGCCAGTCCCCACCCTCATCCCATCCCCTTATTTTAGTCCCACTCTTCAGTGTTTGATTCCTTAAAACCTGTTGGTATTCTTGTCCAGATTTAGTGTTGGTTTGTGTGTCTATATGTTTTAATGTAAATTTACTTCTTTTTCCTGCTTCTCCCCTTCCTCCTCTTAACACTGTGTTTTGGAATGCACCCACATTGTATAAACATCCAGTTTGGTGCTTCTTAACTCTGCATAATAGTTCGTAGACTACTCCTAACACCCTCACCGGTATTTGGATTATAATCCTCTTCCTAATTTTCCCCAGTTTGATGGATAAGTAGTACTTCATTCATGTTCTAATTTGCATTTTTATAATTACTAGTGAGTGATTGCTTCATATATTTGTAGCCATTCAGGCGCCTTGTGAATTGCCCATTTTTCTATTGAGTTGGTGTCTTTCTCTTGATTTGTAGTGAACTCTTTGCATATTCTGAGTATTAATTCCTTTTTGGTTTTACATGCTGCATATATTTTCCCATCGGATGTCAGAGAATATTGCTCATGCTATGATGTATTGAATTGAAATCTATAATTTTGATGTAATCATATCTGCTCATTATTCACCTTATGAAGAATGATTTGGGGATCTTATTTAAGAAGGTTTTTTTTCCTAGGGTTTGATGGAATACTCAGTCTTTCCCATAGCCAGTTCCTAGCTGTCTCTGGGTTTGACACCATATTTGTCCTCTTTGAGTCCCTAGGCTGGGCTCACTGAGCTGTGTAGCTGTTTCTTGTCCCTGGGGAGGAAAGGCTTTTCATGCCACACACACACGCATGCACACAGACAGACACACACAGACACAGACACACAGACACACACACACACCTTCCAAGAGTCCAGCCCGTGGCCTGAGATCGGCTTATATTGCTTCAGGGGGAGCACAGAGACCTGACCTTGCTCAGGCTGCTGGTGGGCTGGGACGAGGGGAAGAGGAGAGGTGGGTGTCTGGTCCAGACCCCTCCTGTCCTCCAGGCTTGTGGTGGCGGTGGAGGAGGCCTTCACGCACATTAAGCGGCTGCAGGAAGAGGAGCAGAAGAACCCCAGGGAGGTGATGGACCCCCGGGAGGCAGCGCAGGCCATCTTCGCATCCATGGCCCGTGCCATGCAGAAGTACCTCCGGACCACCAAGCAGCAGCCTTACCACACCATGGAGAGCATCCTGCAGCACCTCGAGTTCTGCATCACGCATGACATGACGCCCAAGGTCGGCCCCTTCCTCTTTCCCCAGCTCTGGCTCTCCCTCTTCCCGTATTCTTTCCGTTCTTTCTCTCTTCTCCACTTCCTCCTCATAGTCTCTGCTCACCCCTATCCCAACCATTGCATTTCTGCATGGGGGGAAAAAGCACTTGAGTGGATGAGTAGAGCCGGGGCTTAGGGGTTCTTGGGGGGATGGACGAGACCTAGCCCTCATCAAGAGCTCTGGGATTTCAGTGTCCTTATCCAGATCCACCCACCAGATAGTCTTTCCTTGTTTTAAGCCATTGTCCATCCCTCAACTCTATTGCCAGTTTGCTAGAATTGCTCCCCCTGAGCCACCCTTGGTGAACCGGTGACTTAAGATGCTACAGTTTAGTTATGACACCTCTGGATTCCTCCTCGTGCAGACCAGCTTGGTGTTCACCATACCAGAGGTATGGAGAAGAAGGAAGAATTAGAGAGGGCTTGTCCAGGTCATAGCATGGTGGATACGGGGAGAAGAACACAGGAGAGCTGAGTTCCAGTCCTGATCCTGTTGAGCCACATTGCCTCTGTGGGCCGTGGCTTCCTTATTCATTAACCAGGATCTGAATCAGATTCTCTAACATTCTAGATTTTAACTCATATTCATAGAATGAGCTGGGGCATCTTGGCTTGGCTCTTAAGAGCTGTGTCCTCAGGGGATGAAAGATAATGGAATGGGTGGGGAGAGATTCCTATGCAGCCCATTCTTCCCTCCTCAGGCCTTTCTGGAGCGGTACCTGGCGGCCGGACCCACCATCCAGTACCACAAGGAGCGCTGGCTGGCCAAACAGTGGACACTGGTAAGCGAGGAGCCAGTGACCAATGGGCTCAAAGATGGCATCGTCTTCCTTTTAAAGCGCCAGGACTTCAGCCTGGTGGTCAGCACCAAGAAGGTTCCCTTCTTCAAACTCTCCGAGGAATTTGTGGATCCCAAGTCGCACAAGTTTGTCATGAGGCTGCAGTCTGAGACCTCCGTGTGACTCTGCAGTGGGAGGGGAAGTGGGAGACTCTGAGAGGCCCCTGAGGTTGGCGGGAGGGCCTTGTTCTCAGGCCTGGCCACATTCCCGCGGCCTTTCTTCCTCTTGCTCTTGTTTTTTTACTTGAATTAACTTACCCCCGCCCTGTTCCTTGCTTTACCCTACGTGATCCCTGAGAGACCATCCTGCTGCCAACAGTACCTGGGAAGTCCCCGCTGCTTTTTTTCCCTTCACTTTTGTATCCCTCCAGGCCTGCAGGAATCAGTGCCTCTCTCCCTCCCTCGCCTTCCCTTCCCTTTGCCCGGATGACAGTCCCCTCTAAAAGGGCAGGACCCTCCCAATTGTACCCTCTCCCTCCTGAGACCCCACTCACAAACCCAGGTTCTTGCAGCAGTTCTTTCCAGTAGCCCCTGTGAGTTTTTCTCTTGGGGGCAAGGACAGGATTCCAGAGAACCGTGGTGCCAAGCCCCTCCAAGGCGTACTCCAGAGGGAGGTGAAACCATCCCTCCTGACCACTCGCCCCACCATCCCAAACCATGAGGTCTTGGGGCAGGGATGCTCCTGGGTCCTCCCACATTGCTCCAGAGTTAGGATTCTCCCTGCCAAGGTTATTTGCTTCTAGCTGTTAGAGCCTCCTTCCCCGGCCACATCCACTTTGAGCAAGGAAAGAGCCTTCCTTTACCTTCAAATCTCCACTTTCCTTTTCTGATTTGTATGCTCACATGTGACCGCAGGCAAACTGAGGCAGAAACCCTTTTCTGGGCCTTGGGGGAGGGTACCTTTCTTCCAACTGTCTTTCCTAGACAGCACCTGAGGGGAAGGGCAGGACAGAGCCCTGGGGTCTAAAGGGACCCTGTGAACGTCACTGACCCCTGCCCTGTGAACTTACCCTCATCCTTCCCAGCCAAGGGTGACCTGCAGATATTACAGACTCAGTGGTGTGCAGACCCTGACTCAACCACCGTGGTCTTAGAGAAACGTTTTCCTTTCCCTCACCAGCCACCCCAGTCCCGCTGCTTCTCCTCACAGCTCCAGAGACAGCGGCCTCACCTCTTTGTGGTGGTGGGAGCCGGCAGCCCCTCCTCATCCCCTGCCTTAAATCCAGTTCTTTGCCTCAGGGCTCTCCTTTCCTTGGCTGTCCAGGACCCCCTTCTCTCTCTCCCTGCCTGGTTCTCTGGGCACTGGCCTCCCTCTGTATTGGGGTGAGGGACCAGCATTGCTGCCTTTTGTGGGCCCTCAGCCCCTCACCCCATTTACCTTACATACTTTCTGCACCAAATCCACTTTCTCAATAGTTCAGGGCTCATTTTGAGGAACATTCTCTGGCCTTCTAATACATATTAGTAGTGTAAATATGAGCCTGGACACCTTTAAATTAGGTGGTTTTAGCCAAGGGGTGTAGAACTAGGGAGCACCCATCTCCATCCAGCCAGGATCCATGTGGAGGACTAGTTCTGATGGCTGGGATGGAACATGCACTTGGGCCACACAACAACAACAAAACCAAACCCACTGCTGTCAAGTGGATTCCGACTTACGGCGACCCCTTGTGTTACATAGTAGAACTTCTCCATAGAGTTTTCTTGGCTGTAATCTTTATGGAAGCAGATCACCAGACCGGTCCTCTTAACACTCACAACACCCTTGATAGGCCCTCCTCTCCCCTAGAGAACTCACTGGTACTTGCCTTGCAGAGTGCACCCTGGGGTGAGATTCCCACTGCCCTCTCCCCAGGGAGACCTCCTCTGTGGTAGCAGCCCTGGGATGATGGAGCCCAGTGCTGGGCAGGGTTTCTCCTGCTGCCCGTTCTGAAGAGGCACATCCATCCCCTCCACCATTTAGTAGAGAGGGCTTTTCAGCCACTGCTTGCCTTGTCCCTGTGGGGTGGGCTGCAGGGCTGCTTTAGGCAGGGCCTCCTGATCAGCCTTGGACTGGGGCTGTGGGTCTTTGGGGAGGCCTGTGTGAAATGCATCCTGTCCTGGGGCTTCTGGGAAGGTATTTTTTCTTCTCTTCAAAAACCTGGTTTCAGAGGAGGCCTGCTGGGTTACATTTCTAAATACCTCACTATCCTGGAAAATGGGGCATGGATGGTGATTGGGGTCACTGCTTTTGGGGGCAGGAGTAGGGTGTGGTGTGGTTTGAGGAGCGGGTTGGGGTGGGGAAAGGGAATGTGTTTGGGGTCTTAGTGGCTGCCCTTGGTTAGGGGCGAGGGAGTGTTAATTTTAAGAACCTGCCATGTTTTTAATCACTGTGATTTTTTTCATTCCCTTTTCCTACAAGAAAAAGAAATTGTGTCCCCCAACGATCTTTCTAAGCACTAAGGGCTGTGACTGAGAATGGTATCGTTTTGGTCCTTTGTGTCAGAACTGTGGTATCTTTGTCTCCTTATTATTATTATTTTTATTATTATTTGTTAAAGCGTCAGGATGAACTGTCACGTGTATGGGTGTGTGTTTGTCTTTTGCTTCTCTTCCCGGGAAGCTGTCTTCATGATGTGAACTACTGTGGGTGGGCAGCGACTCAGGCCCTCTGAGCACGGTTTCCCCGCTTTGCCTGGCCCACCGCTTGCTGGATTTTCTCCTTCTCCCACCGCGGCGTCCATCGGCGTGTCCACCTGTTACAGCCCCCTCCCCGTATTGCCGCAGGGGGTGCTGTGGCTGGGCCTGTGTTTTCTATGACTACATGTATCCTAGTTCATCCAACCATACCTAGTTCGCCCTTCTTTCCCATTACCTTGGCGCACCTGCCTTTTGCCGTCCACACAGGACACCGGGCCTCAGTCCTTCCCCTACCTCTCCACTCTGCCGCTGTCTCACTGGTCCCGGTCCCCTAAACTAGCCTTTTGTGCTCTCTCTGCTTGTTCTTGTATATTTCCACCTGTCATCTTTCATTTTCTCCTTCTTGCCCTCTTTCATTTCGGCCCTTAATTGCTCGTTCCCTGACCCCTGCCTTCAGTATTCCTGCTGCAAACGCTGTTACAGCACCTGGGGTGAGCCATGGGGATCCCCATGGGGATCTCATCTGAGACATCTGTTTTCCAGAGTTTCTCTTCTCTCCTTGTCCTTTGGGCCCAGATGAGCTCCCTTGCCCCTCCATAGTGTCTGTCAGTCTGTCTGTCTTCTTCTTCTGCTCCCCCCATGGGGCAGTATCTGCTGATGGATTCAATTCTGTTGTGTGATTGTTGTGATTCGTCCTTCCGTGCGTGAAAGGAACGGGTTTTTTTTTTTTTTCTGAGTCCCCTCCAAGTGAGATTGTAAATGTAGACTTTTCCACTGTTGGATCTAGATTTTGTTTTTTTTTTTTGGGTTACAGAGCTGAGACCTTGTGCATGCATGTAGAAAATTGTAAAATGTAAATTCTTTTTTTTTTAATATATAAAAAGCTTGTTTTTACAGTTTGCAGTGGATCTAAACATTATGGCAAATTTAGGGATTTTTTTTCTTAAACATAGGAACTAAAACTGTACAAATTTTTTTTATATATATAAAATAAAGACATTTGACTTTTGTGGGGGCATTCTGTTGCTTTGCTTTTGTGACAGGTAATGGGAGCAAAGACAGGGCCACAGTGGAAGCAGAAAGGGAAGAGTGAATCTATGCTCTTTGTTCAGGGAGTGGATGGGGCAGCAGGGGGCAGTGTAAGCTTGTCATTGCTCCAGGGATCTTCAGGATGTGTTGGGCGAAAGTGGGAAAATGGAAATGGAAATTACTTATTCTGAACCCTGATTCTGAGGAGAGAGAAAGGTAGGAAGGAGAGGACTTAGCTGCTCCCTGGGGTAGTTGTAAGGATAAAGAAGAAGGAAAGATTACTTCTGGGTAGATTCTCTGGAGCAATTTGTATGGCTTGTGTGTGTGTGTATGGCTCCAAGGTGATGGGTGGGAGTAGGGTCTCTAGGACAGAAGACACCACAGCAATTTCAGAGAAGCAAAAGCTTATAACATTACATTTCGTCAAGAAAAATTCCTGAAGCATGTCTCTTATTTCTAAATATGTATACTGTTATCTCTCTCACCCTTTAGACATTACACAAAAGAATATTCTAGCAAAAACTGTTTATTTAAAATGAAAATGTTAGCCGGCACTGTGGTGCTTGTAATAGAACATCAAGCCTTTTTCCCAGCTCTGTCCAGACCTGACCTTTTCTCTGTGAATTTGGGCAAAATACTTAGCATGTAAACAGCCTTCTAAGGTTAAAAACAAACAGACCCCTCCCCCATCCCATACTTTCCCAGACTCTGGGGATGTAGTCCCTGGGTGATGTAAAGGGTTAATGCACTCAGCTGCTAACCAAAAGGCTGACAGTTCGAATCCACCCAGTGGCACCTCGGGAGAAAGTCCTGGCAACTTACTGAAAAATCAGCCATTGAAAACCCTATGGATCTCATTTCTACTCTGACACACACATGGGGTCACCATGAGTTGGAATCGACTCGATGGCCCCTGGTACGACTGAAGATGCAAAGATAAGAGAGGCTTGGTCCTTGTCCTGGAGGAGCACCCAGTCTCCAGGAGGTGACAGACCCAGTAACCTCATGTCAGACTGCATGGGTCCTGAGTGTTCACAGGCAGTGTGCAGAGACCAGCCCCAGCTGGATTCCAAAGAGGTCAGTGATCTTCCTCCTTCAAGAAATTTAGGAAGTTTGTTTAAGAACCAAGAGGGAACAACACAGTCTCCATGAGGGAAGGGACTTTATTTTGTTCATCTTAGCATCCCTAGCATCTACACCAGTTCCTCACGTATAGTTGGTGCTCAGTAAAAAATCTGCAAATGAATTAAAAAACCTAAATACAATAAGGGCATAGAAAAGATCCTATACTTGCTTCTTCTCCCTTTAAAATTGCACTCAAATCTTTCTCATGCAAAAACAAACAAAAAACTGGTTGCTTGAAACTGTATCCCCTGTTCTCACAGCTCTGTCCTTTTTGTAACCAGGCTTATACAGGAACAGTTTCTTGTTTTCAGTTCTTCATCTCAGAGCTAACTTTTGACTTATTGTGACCAAATTTCCACCCCAGCATGCCTCCGAAATTATTGCTCCGAATGGCCAACTTGAATATATACCTTTTAAGTTTAGTAAGACTTTCCTCAGAGTCCCTGGGTGGAGCAAACAGTTAAGCAGTCAACGGCTAGCTGACAGGTTGGCGGTTTGAACCCACCCAGAGGTGCCTCGGAAGATGGGCCTGGCAATCTGCTTCTGAAAGATCACAGCCTTGAAAAGCCCAGAGAGCAGTTCTACTCTGCACACTTGGGGTCATCATAATTCAGAATCGACTCAACAGCAACTAACAACAGGTTTTTATTCAGTGCCTACAATGCTTATTCAGTGCCTGGTACTAAAGTACTTTGGTTTGTAAAGATATTCGGTCCTGCCCTCACTGAGCTAACTTTTTGTGGAGCCTTAAAGAGTCTGTATTTAACCTCACAGGCCTCCTCTCCTAACTCTGGCCCAGGAATTAATAGATTTTAGGCAGATCTCAGTATTTCGTCTATGGGATCGTGTTTTCTCCAGTGGGTTGCTGAAAGCATAAGTAATAAACCCAACCATTTGTCATACAATAGGGTATTTGTAACTTTTACCTGAAAGGACGTGTTTTCCGTGGAAGTATCTCACGTATCACTGAAGATGGGGACTCAGCTTGGTAGATTATCAGGACTATGCAAGGGACTTTTCCTTAGCATTGCTGCCCAGATGTGATTTTCTGGCTTCTGCCTTTGAAACGCATCCAGGAGAGGGAATTGTGGACTGGGGCCCTGGGTGAAGAGACGTAAGCATCTTTAGTTGTAGTTCTTAGTGATTCCTTAGTAATTTTTTTGTTTGGGTCAGTTTAATGGCTTCTACAGAACTGTAAGCCTGCAGTTTAAAATAACCCCTGACTTCTTATTTGTCAGTTTGAGCATGTGATGGAAATGCTCTTCCGATCACTAGGAGGCCGGGGTGGGGCAAGTCAGCCTTTGGAAAACCATTGCAGCATTAGTGCACAAGTGGTCATGGAAGATGCTAGAGAGATAGTTTAAAACAACAACAACAAAAACTAAACCAGTTGCCATTGAATTGATTTGACCCCATGGGGTTTTCAATGGCTTATTTTTCAGAAGTAGTTTGCCAGGCCTTTCTTCTGAAGAGAGATAGTAAAGGACCATCCAAATAGTAGAAAGATCTTGGAAGACAGTCTTCCTTGTCCAGCTCCCCAATTTCTCTTCAGGCTGAGAATCCAGTCCATTTTTCCTGTTTTAAAGGATAGGCAAAGGGCAGAGCAGACATGGTATCCTAGTAGCTCTTAACAGCAAATGCCAAATAGTAGGAGAAAGGACTAGTTTAGAGTTGGGGAAAATTGGGCCAGCCATTGACTTCTTTCACTTCTCAAGTTTTTAGGAAACCCTGTTCTAGGCAATGGGATGCAAAGATAAATAAAACATTGCCCCACCCTAGGAGCTCATGGAGCTTTGACTCAGTATAATTGGGAAATTTTATTATTTTGTAACCTGTTGTAGCCAACCCAAGGAAGTAAAGTATTCCCTAGAGATGGTAAAGATCTTCTGAAGCCATCATTTTGGGAGTGCATTGAGCTTGATAGATAAGTTATTTTGATGTCACCAACCCAAAAAAGAGCCATCTGCACTCTTTGATATCCTATAAGGGTACCTTCTGTTGTGTCCTGCCCCTTCTCTTCTGCTTGCTTTTGGACACAGTCCATGCGACTCCCTTACCCAGGACAAACGTGGTTAAAAGTGAAAGTGCATGCTATTGCCTCTGGGTCCCTTAAACTGTGTCACTGTGGAGCTTGGAAATCTGCTAAAGACAAACAAAGAGAAAAAAGGAGGGTCTGGTAGTCCATCAACACAGTGCCAGCTGAAAATTTGCACGGAGAACTTAACTTGGTGGGGGGTTTTGCGCCTTTCAATTTCCTGTTAATGTTTCTTTCTTTCTGATATACGAATGTGTGATTTGATGGTATGGTTGACAGATAGTTTTTTACTCCAATAAAGAACTGTTGCTGAAGGACTGCTTGTCTTCTGCGTATTTGTGGTTGTTGGTCTCTGTCGAGTTGATTCCTACTCATGGTGACCCCATGCCTATTTACTTCAATCCTAATACAGCATCTCTAGCCTCAAGATGGAATCCAGTCAAAAAAGCAGGGAAAGCTGACCTTGTAGATTCTGTTATCAGGGACTGGTCAGCAATTTGGTACTTATGGTTTGGACCGTATTGAAGGATTTGTCACCAGGTAACCTGCTTCCTGAGATTGCAGTGTTTTTTGTTGTTAGCTGCCATCCCGTCGACTCCGACTGATGGCAACCTTACGTACAACAGGGCTAAACGGTGCCTGGTCCTGTGTCATCCTCACAGTTGCCAGCATGTTTGAGTCCATCGCTGCATTTACTGTGCAATCCATCTCACCGAAGGTCTTCCATGCCCTCCTTGGCCCTCTACTTCAGCAAACGTGATGTCCTCCTCTAGCAATCGATCCCGCCTGATAATGTATCCCAGCCAGTCAGACGGTGTTCTGTTGTGATCCATAAGGTTTTCATTGGCTCATTTTTGGAAGTAGATTGCCAGGCCTGTCTTCCTAGTCTGTCTTAGTCTGGAAGATCTGCTGAAACCTATTCACAAGGGGTAAGCCTGCTGGTATCTGAAATACTGGTGGCGTAGCTTCCAGCATCATAGCAACCTGCAAGCCACCACAGTACAACAAACTGACAGATGGGTAGTGGAATGTTTAGGTGGTTTTAATTCTCTCTTGAGGTAGGCCGCCAAAGTAAAGCTTCTCAAACTTTAATTGTGCATATGACAAGTGTGTATATCACTTGCAGATTTTGTAGAAAGGCAGATTCTGATTCAACAGGTCTGGAGTAGAGCCTGAGACTCAGCATTTCTGACAAGTTCCTACGTGATGCTGCTACAGCAAATCTTCTGCAGACCTTACCTTGAATCAAAACCCGTTGCCGTTGAGTCGCTTCCAACTCATAGTGACCCTAGAGGACAGAGTAGAACTACCCCCTAGGGTTTCCAAGGAGAGGCTGGTGGATTCGAACCGCAACCTTTTGGTTAGCAATCAAAGCTCTTAACTACTGTGCCACCGGGGCTCCTATCTTGAGTAGCAAGGCCCTAAAAGAAGCTTTATGTACCCATGACAGTTTGAGGGGCCCAAACATTCCTTACTCTAAGATATTTGATCTAAGAGATCAAAATTGTTAAGAGATCTAAATTTCGCGAATGTAATCAATAGCTTGGTATTTAAGTCAATGTTGCTTATGTTATAGAATTGCACCATGTATATCAAATTGTGATTTTATGGAACTTTCAAATGATATGTTGCGAGATGGCCTCATGTGTGAGTTGATGCAGAAACAGTTCAGTGGACCCCTTAACTGATCTAAACAAGACGTTTATAATGATGCAAATAAGAGCCAAGCTGGTAAGACTATCACTAAAGGCCACAGAGATGGAAGGAATGGTTTACAATATAAATAACCTACAGGCAGAAACTTCTTGCCAACATGATCAGTAGAACAGAGGGAATTCAGTAGTTTTCCCAAGTTTTGGAGAATTTCAGATAAGATGCCTTACTGTATTTCAATATGTCTATGGGTGTGGAATGAAAGTAAACCATGATCATCATATATTGATATCCTGGAAATACCGTCTCCAAGTGCTTTGCTAAAGTCATGATCACTACACAAACTTCAAGGTCATAATGGTTATGTCATTGATTGGAAGCAGCTTTCTCTGTGTTCAGTGCTTTTCACTCATTCAGTCATCCGACAGATATTTGTTGAGCACATTCTGTGCCAGACACTGGTGATATGGCAATAAATAACTCAGATGTGGTCTAATTCTCAAACAGATACTGATCACAGAATTTCAAATGTGATGGATGTACTAAAGGAGCAGAGGGGGCTGTGGGATCTTATACAGAAATAGGACCCTAACCCCGTGGGAAGGTTTTCTTGGAAGAAAAAAAAAAAAAAATCATTTCAGCTCCGTGGAAAAATTTCTGCTTAAAAGGGTGGGGTACAAACACTCTTTGACCAGAAGACCCTCCTCTTTCTCTTTAATGAGGAAACAGCAAAGAATTGCTGTTTAAGAAAAGAGTGTCAGAATTACTGGGCCTTAGGAAGTTATTAATAGATTTCCCGGAGAACTTACTGAGTGTTATTTTATTAGAAGCCAGCCATGGCAACAGAAATAAATGTTATAAATGAAGCGTTTATTCTAAGGATAAAATAAAAAGAGGGAAGGGGAAGAATTAGAACATCTAATGTACCCTGCTTATACATACTTGGTGGACTACACCAGTTGTTTAACGCTAAAGAGAGGAAGAATTTGTGGAAAC